TCACGGTCTTTCCTGCCTGGGCTGGCTTTGAACCGTGATCCTCAGATCTCAGCCTCCTGAGTAGCTAGGATTACAGGCGTGAGCCACCAGCGCCCGGCTTCTTTTTGGGTTCTTGTAAGTTCTCAGCAAAAAAAAAGCTAAGTGCTGTCTTGGAAAGCTGGAAAGCAAGCAGCTTTCCTTCAAAGTCTTGCACTGACGAGTTGGCAAAATTTGCTGCTCAGTCAGGTCAACTGGAAGAGGCCGCGTCTCCGCTGTCAGCAGTTCCAGGTCCCAATGTCTGCCTGGAACTGTTGCCAGCAAGACAGTAGTCCTGGGGCCACTCTCAGAGCCGTGTCCCTCGGCCTCTGGAGGGAGAGTGTAAGAGCCTGGGATAAATCCAAGTGCAGAAAATATATCTGGTCAAACCAAACACATTACAAGGAACTACATTCAAACTAGGCATGGCAGCTGGCTATCGGTGGCTCACGCCTGTTGTCCTAGCTACTCAGGAGGCTGAGATCTGAGGATCACGGTTCAAAGCCAGCCCCAGTAGGGAAAGTCTGTGAGATTCTGATCTCCAATGAACCACCCGAAAACCGGAAGTGGCGCTGTGGCTCAAGTGGTAGACCGCTTGCCTTGAGCTGAAGAAGTTCAAGGACAGTGCTCAGGTCCTGAGTTCAAGCCCCAGGACTGGCCCCCCCCCAAAAAAAAAATTTGAAAGAAGAAAAAAAAACTCTCCCAAAAGCCTAGACTCCATCCCCCAATGGGGGGGTGAGGTTCACCCCTCCCCAGGAGGAGGGCTTGGGGGTTGGAGGGAGAAGGAGGGGGCTGGAGAGCCCCAGAGATGAAGAAGATGGAGGGGCTGGGCCAGCCCGAGGCTCACCCTTCCACTCCAGGTTTCCGCGCCCCCGCTCCAGGTGTCCCAGCAGCCGCTGAGGGCAGGAGGAGAGCAAGAAGTCCCTCTCCTTCCACACCGTGTCCGCCTGCTTCATCCACAGCTGACCAATGGTCAGGGTCTCGGGCCAGTTCCCCGTCCAGTTGCTCATCCTGGGGTTGAACCTCATGAACTCCTCACCATTCAGCGCGAAGATGGCCGTGGGCACCGACGAGTTGTCAGGGGCAAGTTCACAACCCAGCAGCCCTTGCAGGACTTGTGGATCTGGGGTGCCACAGGAGGTGAGCAGAGCCCAGGAGCACAGGGACTGCCCTCCTCCCTCAGACCCAGGGGTCCAGACTTCAGCCTCCTCCCTCAGATGTCTAGACCCCAGCCTCCTCCCTCAGATGTAGTGATCCAGACCCCAGCCTCCACCCTCAGACTCAGCGGTCTAGACCCCAGCCTCCTCCTTCAGACATAGTGATCCAGACTCCAGCCTCCTCCCTTAGCTCCAAGCCTTCTCCCTCTTCCTCCCTTGGACCCTGGCACTCAGG